CCAAAAACAAAAAAAAAAAAAAAAAAAATATATATATATACATACTTTAGAAGTTGATCTACTATCAAAAACGTTCGATTCAACACGACACAATCCTCAGAAAAACATCACACAATAGTGCCAGTGCTGCCAGCTAAAACACACACACAACAACAAAAAATATTGGAGTAGCCCAAGATATAGCCAAAGATTGTAGCACCACAGCACTAGCGAAAATTTAAAATTTGCCGACTGGAATGCTTTCGGATAAATAACGTTCTATTGTATTAGAAATTATTAGAATAAGATATATTAGAAGGTGTCTTTATCAAATAAAATGTATAGTATATGTAACTAGTTTTTACATTGGTGAAACAAAACAGATTGAGGATTAGACTATCAGAACACCTGGCTGCCATAAGGTTGAGAATTAGTAGTTCTCCTGTCTTCCAACACTAATATTAATAATTGTCAAATCAATACTAATAAATTAAAAATTACCTTTAGGAAAAAAACAATGTAAAACAAAGTAAAAGTACATTTTGCTATAATTATGCAGAACAACAATGTAAATTTGAATACAGGAATGTTAACAGTGGAATGCTGGAAATTTTTTGTAAATTATATAAGTGGTTTCTCTTAGCAAGTTATTGTCGGAGCATAAACTGTGTACAATTAGACCTACTGAAGAGGCCTTCCGTAGGCGAAATGCATTTAGGAAGTTTATTAATGTAAATAAAGGTTTTCTTTGCAAGTTGATCTCCTTTTTACCTTTAATCTTTTTTATTCATTGTTGATACAATGTTTTAAAAATTTCTTTAAAGTTATAAATTATCCATAAGTCAGAGGAGAAAGAAAAATATATTTTTTTGTATATTTTACAATTACGTAAGAAAAACAGTTTGACTCCATTGTTTTTATAATTATTTCAGGATAAGTTATTAGGTTAAACATTAACTTTATAAATAAACATCTCTAAACCCGATATCCAATATAGTAACACACCAACCGAATGCCGAAAATCAATCAGGCTATTTTAATGCTAATGTGCCAAATTGATTACGTAATTTATTTAGTTTCAGTTTTATTTAGTTACGTAATCAATTTGGCACTAGTGCCAAATTGATTACGTAATTTATTTAGTAATTAGCATTAAAATAGCCTGATTGATTTTTGGCATTCGTTTGGTGTGTTATTAACTTTATCATGTTTTTTACATTTAAACTCTATTCCAAAGACTTACATCATCTCTTGTTCTCCTTGACTTGCACTTCTCAACCTATGTCGATCATTCTCTTTATATGTCACACTCTTCCCTCCCTCTATAAATCTTCTCCACAACTGGTGTATTTCTCTTCCGGTATTATTTATTCTATTCTTTTGTTTAATTATATTAATATTTTCGTATAGTTGTTGTTTATAATTTTTTTTCCTGTTTTCCTTATTTTTACTGAATTTAATACTATTTCACATCCTGCTGAATTACAGTGTTCCGCTACTACTGAATTTGCATAATTTCCTGACCGATCGAATATGAAGATATAGAAAATTCATTAATAAGAAAAACACAATTTAATTATCCAAATAGGTGTGTTTAAATTATAATCAAAAACAATTACTTTCAGTTTGAAAACAAATACTATACTCAGATGGATGGAATACCTATGGGTACTTGCATAGGTCCAAAATTGGCTGAAATATCAATGATACAAATAGATGAACAACTTAGAAATATAGAAGGTATAGAATTTTATAACAGGTATTTGGACAACTGTATTATAATACTAAATGCAGAACCTGTTACTGGTGTAATTTTGCGTGAAAAATCTTCCTTTCACAAACGTTTGAGCTGCCCAGATAGCTCTTCCTCGGGTATAGTAAAAAAAAACCTGAGGAAGAGCTATTTGGGCAGCTCGAAAACATTTGTGAAAGAAAGATTTTTTCACACAAAATTACACCGGTAACAGGTTCCGCATTTAGTACTTCATCCCCGGTGTCAGAGTGAAGTTTAATGTATTATAATATTTGATAAAAGAAAAACAGATGAAAACAATTATTAAAAAAGCTAATGAGATAATAGAAAATATTAAATTTGAATTAGAAAAGAAAAACAAAATAGCATTAATTATCTAGATATAACAATTAAGAGAAAAGAGGATAAATTAATTTATAAAAAATAAGTTAAACTTATACAAATTCCAAAAACAATTATAAATCTGTTATCCCAATTAGTATGAAATATAATATATTTAAAATGTATATAAATAAAATAGAACAAAGAACAAGTGAGATTGAAATACAGAAAAAAAAAGAANACGTCGTATGGTGAGTTTTTGTTCGTACCGTGGAGCAAAATTATGTTCGAATTTCATGTCGTATCCTGAAAATTTCGTATGCTGGGGCGTTCGTATCCTGAGGTACCACTGTACAACTAAAAAGCATCTATGTTATAGAAATGAAAAAAATGATAGAAGAAAAAGAAGTAATGTATTCCTTTAATTGTAATTTGTAACCAAGAAAAAACATATATTGGTGAAACAAAAAAATTAAAAATAAGATTAAAAGAACATATTTGAGTGATCAGGGGAAATTATGCAAATTCAGTAATAGTGGAACACTAATTCAACAGGATGTGAAATAATATTAAATTCAGTAAACATAAGGAAAAAAATAATTATAAACAACAACTATACAAACTTTTATAACAATTTTGTTTTCGACACTGTTGTACATAAAACACGTAGTTATTTAACAATTAACTTTATTCCCTCTCGATACAACCGACTGGGGTGACGACTACACAAGAACTCTCCCAGACATTCAAAAGGTATGTTGGAATTTTCACCTTTGACCTGACACTCAGATCAAGTTACAACATTACAACACGAACATAATATAATTAAACAAAATAATAGAATAAATAATACCAGAAGAGAAATACACCAGTCATGGAGAAGATTCATAGAGGGAGGGGAGTGTGTGACATATAAAGAGAACGATCGAAATAGGTTGAGAAGTGCAAGTCAAGGAGAGCAAGAGATGATGCAACTTTGGAATAGCGTTTAAATGTAAAAAACATGATAAAGTTAATGTTTAACCTAATAAATTGTTTTAATATAGGAATTTGTTTAAAAAGTTACTGTTAATACTGTTTTAAATTAATTGCTTGGTGGAAATCATAATAAAGAAATAACCCTGAAATTGTAATAATTTTATATTATTGTTGGTAAATTTTAAAAATTATGTTATACAACATTTTTTAAAAATTTCCTAACATAATTTTATTGTTTTTAATATAATGTTCTCCTTTAAATATATTTCTGCATGTTACTCCCCCTACCAGGATTTCTTGGTAAGAAGACTTCAGAGGTTAACATTGGCCAGCCTTTGAAATTGTCAAAGCAGTTTTGTCACAATTTTTATTGTGTGTTAATTACATCTTTTAAATCAAGATCCACTTGAGGTATATATCTGGATAACAAGTTTGTATAAACTTATGAAGTCAATATATTTACATTAAGGTTATACAGTTAAATATCGACTTTCTACTTATCTCAGTTTCATTTTTCTTAGAAACACTTTCATGCAATAACAACTTATAAAAACAATGTTAACAATCAATTTCTTTTCTTTAGCATTTCTTTGGTTTGATCAAACAAGGCAATGGTAGCAACGC